AATTATTTGATCGACATTAAATATGCGGACTGTCGATCACATGTTGGTTTGTGTAACTTTTGACGTTTCCCCCTGTTGATGAATATATAACGATAAAGTAACAAAAATTTCGGGTGTACCTTAAAAGACAAAACTCGGGTTGTTTTTTAATATACTTATTATAATAATAAAATGGAGTACCAACTCATTCCTCGAAACAGTGAAATTTCTAATTCAGACGAGGTTTCTCTTACAGTAGCGTCATCTATAAATCGTCCTGAACGAAGGGCTATTCCATGGTACTTAGATGGATGTTTAATGAGCAAAGTATAAAAATTATTAAAAATTATAAAATTTCTCTCTTTAAATCCATTATAAGTTACGTACTTGATTTATAGGTTGTAATTTTCGTGGTTATATTAACATGGATTATATTGGTTGTTTGGCAAGTGTTACTTACGGTTAGGAATCAACAATGTAGGTTGAGTTATCTTGGTTTATTATTATTTTTCAATTCTCTTTTATCCTGGTTTATTTGATTTTGTATATTAATCTTATTTTTATTTCTCTTAAATATTGATTTTTATTGTTTTACAATAGAATTTTAACCCGGAACAAAAAATTTTTATTTCATAACAAAAACTACCTTAGGCCACACAAATTTAATATCTTGGTTTTCATAACATGAAACTTTTAAACAAATCCGACCGGGCCAGCTTTTTTTTTTTTTTAATTTCATATATAAAAATTTTATAAAATTTTTTTTAAAACCCACCCGGTTATTAAAACATATAAAAACTTTTTTACAAGTTTTCAAATTTTGACCGGCCGGGTTATGAAAACCAATTAATTAATTTTGCATGGCTTAGGTGTATATTTTTCACATTAACGTTTGGATCGAACGGAATCGATGTTCCACATATGGGCGGATTGAACGCATTGGGCCTTAGCAAGAGACACCAAATTTTAATTTGAACCCCATATTTTCCTGTATTCAATTAGTCAAATGTACAAAACAATTATTCGATTATACTCTAATAATTTAAGACTATCGCTATACCTCAAATAATTTTAAGGATATAATGATTATGCAAAATCATGTATCAAACCCATCTGTCCTAGCCAAACCCATCTGCTTAGAGTCTACTTGGACATATAATTTGACGTCTAATCCCTACTAGAACATATTATTTGACATCAAGTATATTATTTTTAAACAAATGATTTGCATAAATTTTTTTATAAAAGAAATATGTTTATTAATTGTTAATAAAAAGAACAGAAGTTGTCTTTTAATTATAAGCTTACTATTTGTAGTATAATTAAAAAATATAACATGTCACATAAAATTTTTATATAAAAAATTTATTTTTTATATAAAAATTTTATATAATTATAAAGGGTTTTTTGATGATATCTTAGAAATTAATAAATTAATTTTACTAATCTTATTACTATTAAATACTGTAGCTTTAAATGAGCTTTATAACTTTGGTTAAAATATTAAAAGTAGTTTACTTAATAAAAAAAGTTTTAGATAGAAACACTTTATTTTCAAACCTATAGTAAAATTTATATATAAAAAAATTTTTGTTTAGTTGACTAAAAAATCATCTATTAAAATAATAATTTTTTGTATTAAATAATAAATATTTTAAACAAAATAATAATTAGTTTAATTTTGTTATTAGATTTTTATAAATAGTTTTAAATATATTAAAAAAGATTTTAGAAGCTGGTGTATATACTATAGTATACACCTAATCATGAAGTATAAATAGTGATTATTTATTATATCAAATTAGGTTAATTTTTTTTTGCTTTTTTGATTAATATACTAGTAATTATTTTTTTAGGCAACAGTTTATACTATTCAGGTTAATTGTAAAATCATTATTGAGTATTGTTGTCTGCTATATTTGGTCTCTTAAGTTTGGTGTCTTTATTTTAGCTTCATCATTTTTGTTGTTGTTGGTATGAAGGATTCCTTATGGGTGGCGAAGCATGTTACGATGTTACGGATGGCAAAGTTACTCGCTACGGTGTTTCTGCGGGCTATACAGCTCCTGAATACAATGTTACTCTCAAAGCAACCAATTCCATGTCTGCTTATACCCTTCTATACTATCATCGTGTACATCCTGATATTGAAGCCGGTGCAAAAGCTCATTGGGATACCACTTCAAACAGTGATAGTGTTAATATGGAAATTGGTGCTAAATATTTTTTAGATCGCGACGCATTTGTAAAAGTACGTGACCAGTTCATTATTTATTGTGGCGCTTATGCTGAGATCCGGAGTCCCTATTTAAATCTATAATATCCGCTAAAATCTACATATACTCTTTATTAACAATACTAACCCTAAACCCATCTTAACTGTGAAAAAAAAGCCGGCGAAAAAAGCTTCCAAAAATTTTATAATTTCATAATAAAATCTCAGCATAAGCCAATCTTAGCATAGGTTGCCACATTCACTATTAGCGCTTGTATAGAGAAATTCATTCTGAATTACTAATCAAATTTGTAGGCTAAAATTGATAATAATGGTCGTTTGGGTCTTGGATACACACAAGCACTCCGTCCGGGCGTTAAGATCTCTCTTGGTGGCAGCATTGATACATCCAAATTGGGTGAAAATAATCATCGATTTGGAGTCTCTCTTAATTTAGAATCCTAATACTCAATTCAAGATTGATTTATAGATCTGGTTTTGGATAGCAAATATTTGTAGTTTTTTTCCTTTATACTTGCATCAACATTAAATAATGCGGTCAAACAATGTATTCTTAATGGAATTAATAAAAGTGTCCCACATATACAAATGCATAAATATACCTATCTAAACATTCAGAAATTTGAGATTTTAGAGATCATAGAAATAAATATTAAGTCATTAAGCCATATTTAAATGACGAACTAAGATCACTAGATATCATCTGGTGTACTTTGACTGTTATATGCGTGACATGTTTATTAAATTCTGATCGGATATTCATTGAGATATACAATAACTAATAAAATTCAGGCTCTGGACTTCGACGTTTCGTTTAGCCCTGATATTGTATTTTTTTTATTCCAAAAATTACTTATAGTCTAACCTCGATATAGTCACTCTTGTATAAAAAAATTCTATTTTTATTTTACCAATCACTATAAAGCATAAGAAAATTAACCACTGTATAGGCACTATCACTTTAGTCACATTGAATTTTGGTTACCAACCTGGTGGTTATATCGAGGTTATACTGTATTTGTAATTGGAAGATTATTTTGAGCATACCAAAATCAATCATTTAAATTTATTGGAAAAATGTATTATACAATTATATGAAAACTATGAAATTCATACCTATTGTCATTTATTTTCTTTTCAAAGTATTCTGTTGTAAGATTATGCTGGCAGCACGTTCGTTCAATCAAATTTAATGTCCCCTACGTTTTCTTTTTCTGTTGTAAGAAGCCACCGAAGAATCTGAACTGTCACTTCGTGACGAAGAATCTGACGATTCGGAAGAACTCGAATTTGATCCACTATCGCTGTCTGAACCTGAACTAAGACTTGATGATTCAGTCGAAGAACTATCTCCACTCTCGCTGGCGGAATCGGATGACGAAGAAGACGACGAAGATCTTAATAATTAGTATAGATAAAATAACACGATATGTTTAGATAAGAACTTTTAGTATTAGATAATAATATATGCACTCACAAATCCTATCAATTCAGAGGCGAAAGCAAATTACGAATCGACAAGTGACCGGACGTAATTTAATCCCTATTATTATTCAAGTTATTTGACAGGACTAGTGAATGTATCGATAATAGGAGATTGATTCATCTTACTCTGTTTTTCGTTTTTTTCTTTTACTTTCTTTTACGTCTTCGGATTTCTCCAATTTTTCCGGTACATCCTTTCTGTTAAAACGATGTGCGTTTTAAAAATAAAGATCGCTGGTTATTTGGAAAACTGTGCACTTACTTTATTCCCAATTCGTCCGGAAGTTCAACAGATATTGGTTTTAGCGGTTTTGTAAGTTGTTGAGTTCTGGTCGGACGAGGTTTGTACACTCGTTCATTCTTGCATTCATAGGTCTACATCACACAAAGAGAATGTGAAACCTTGTAAACGTTGTGAACGAGATTAATACATATATCACTTTAATGCTGCACTTGACTTTACCCAATGACCGTATTCAAGGCATTTTTGACATTGAGTTTTAGGTGAAGCTTTGGTGCCCGAGGTCGGGTACCTAAGTACAAAAAGTAACGCGATCATGTCTTACTAACTATTCGCCTTAAGCAATTTCGACCTTAATTACAAACTTACCTGCGTCCTGGGAAGCTTGCTTTATTCATTTTGGTAGTCTGAGTAAAAGAGCGGTCGTAGCATGATTAAAAATCCATTTGATTGGCCAAAAGTCAGATCATTTTTAATTGGTTAAAATTAAAATTAAATTTTGATTGGCTCATATTACAGGAATACATCTGATTTCGATATTTGTTTTTTTTTTTTTTAAAAAAAAATACCGTCAATTAGTATTAGGGTTAGTGTTAGGGTAAGGATAGAGCTTTAAAAGAAGAAACTATACTAAAATTTCGCAAGAAATTTTTTTTACTAGAACGCAGGAGTTAGTTTCATAAGCGAAATTTCAAGATAAAGGCAATTTTTTTTAAAAAAACGAATTTTAACATTACAGATCGTTCGAGTAATAGATGCTGATTGGATAAAAAGTGTAATTTCCAAATCGGGCGGGGGCACATAGCTCCGTATTACAGTTGACCCTCCCAGGATTATATGGGTCATGGAGGAACATTGATCCTCGATTTTTGATTGGCTATTCTATGTAAACAAATAAACAAATCATTTTCGATCTGGCTCCAAGCTCTGATTCTAAATAAAATCAGATTTTTTGTTTATTTGTTTACTTGAATACTAAAATTAATTTTTTTGGTATTTTTTTGGTATTTCTTTTGTTACTTTTTTTATTGCTTTTTCAGTATTTTTTTTGTTGCTTTTTTTGGTTTTTTTTGTACTTTATTAGTGTTTTTTTGTTGTTTTTTTAGTACTTCTTTTGTTATTTTTTGGTGTTTCTTTTATACTTTTTTAGTGTTTTTTTTGTCACTTTTTTTGTGCTTCTTTTGTTATTTTTTTTGCTTTTTTAATATTTTTTTTGTTGTTTTTTTGATTCTTTCTTTGCTTTTTTGGTTTTTTTTATTGTTTTTTTATTGTTTTTTTTTGTCATTTTTTCAATTATTTTTTTTTTGGTATTTCTTTTGTTGCTTTTTTAGTACTTCTTTTGTTATTTTTTTAGTGTTTCTTTTGTTATTTTTTGGTAGTTTTTTTATTGCTTTACAATATTTTTTTTGATGTTTTTTTGATGTTTTTTTTATTGTTTTTTTTAGTATTTTTTTTTTTTTTTAGTGCTTTTTTTGTTTTTTTTGATGTTTTTTTTTGGTTTTTCTTTTATTGTTTTTGGTTTTT